AATCGCTCAATTGTATAACCTTTGGCATATTTGTAATTTAAGGCATTTATTTGAACGTAGGTTGCAGAGATGGGAGCTCGTTCAGACGAAAGCCCGTTAGCCAAACGTCATATTTGGTGAACGTACATGAGATGCAGCGCACAGTGACAGCGTCGAGTTTTATATTTTTTTGGGGTGTAAAATTTTCGTCGAGTTCAAACAGTCGATGTCCTAAATTTGTTCGAACTGGACATGTAATTACCTATATTTGAAATGTTTAAAGGGAGAAGTATTTGTGTTGCAATGAAGCCCCTTGGCTCGCGTTAGGACGGCATATATCCGCTGTAGTCGTAATTTATTGTTTCGATTATCACGTGCGAGCGCATTAATAATAGTCGTTAAATTTCAGAAGATGAGCCATTGAAAATGTCGAAACCATGACAACCACAAGTTTCGAGCTAGAAAATGACTTTATATTCGTTTCATTATGCTTCGTGCATTGTCTAACATGTACGTTGACATCATGAGCCACATGGGTGAGACCCTGTACCCTTTTGAACATGGTACAAGTAGCTGGAAATTAGTTTGACAATATTTTAGTTGCAGGATATCCCCAATGCTTAATAGTACACAAGATTTATGAGCCTTTAAGGTCCTACTAATTATGGGAAAATGGGGATAAATGTACACTTAATTTATTGAACAATCACACCAATTGGTTTTCACATTGACAAGGAGATTGGACATGGTGGTTGGGAAGATGATTAACATATTTGCTCCCCATTCTTCTTGCTTATAAATACAGGACGTGAGTTCGTTGTATATCAGAAACAACCTAATTGAATACCATTCTTAGAATTAAAAGTCCTCACACACTATTCGTTTCATCAATACTTTACAACATCGATATAATGAGTTCGTCCACAGGAAGCACCAAACCGTTCAACGTCAACGAGCCAGTACCAGTTCCCAGTTCATCTCCGTTATTTTCAATTTAAATTTCGTCAGATGATGAGGAAGCTAACCCTCGTATTGGTAGAAGAGCCATTTCCCCCGTTCCATTTCCCAACTTGGAAGATGTAGCGACAGAGTGTGTGCAATCACCCAACGCAGTGTTCGATGAGGATTTCGAGGTCGATGCTGGATACGAGGGAGGAAGTGACGATGACAAATACGGGCTGGCGTACGTCCCACATAATGAGGTAATTATCATCTCGTCGGACGAGTCGAGCGAAGACAGCGGGGGACAAGGCTCAGTTGTGGAGGACGAATGAAGTGACACCCATCTTTCGTAGTGAATAAGTGATGCGTAGTCCTGTATTTTGTTCTTCTTCTATTTGGTGAACACAATTGTAAAGGTTTGCATTACCATTCCCGTAGGATGCCACGGATGGTGTATTTCGGTATCCAACTGTCGAGAATGACAGAGACAATCTGTCGGGACGACAAATGAAGTGTCGAGATTCTGCAGCAGTATTTTGTAAATGGACCCGTATTTTGTAAATGGACCCATATTTTGTAGTAAGTGGACCTGATGTTATGAAATTGTATTTATCGTGCGCTCAATTGTGCTCAATTGTGTGGAGCATTGACGATGTTGTGAATTTTAATCTGTTTCGTGGGGATTGAAAAAATTCTTTTCGAGTGGATAAAAAATCGGAAGGTTTGTAGAGTGGGAGGGCAAATTCTATGGTTTGAAAGATATATTGTCTCATACGATTTTGCGTGTGCGTATTTGGAATAATGTAAGGTGATAATGGGTGACGTTGACCGGATGTTAAAAAATGGGGCGCATCATGCCGTCAATCCAGTGAACTATTTAAAATGTTGCAATTTATAATTCACTTGGTCGGGATTGAAAAAATCATTATTACGTGGACAGTAATTTATTATGCGCACACCTTAGGTGTTGCTTACTACTATCAACTATGTAGCATGATCGTGGAGTTGGAGGGTGAGTTGTACGCTTTTAAATATGTTGTGTCCTGTAAGATTTGTGATTCTATTTGATTGTAGGAATGAAATGTATAGTTTACCATGTACGTGAACCTGATATTTAATGCGGTGCACGTTTTCGTCAACTGTCGAGAATGAATGAGACATCTGTCCAGGCCGACAGTTTAACCGTAACTATGAAAAACTTTTCAATTATCAGAACTTAGCCAATGTCAGTTCATAGGTGTACGAAGAATGGTAGATACATCAGAAACGTGGAATTATGATGTGACACATGGGTACAATTGATAACAAAATTATAATAAATGCATTGATTAGGTACAAACGACATGGGTAAAAAGTAAACATAAAACTTCGGCCAGTCACAGAAAAGAGCTTATTTGAATGGGCCGTGGTACAATGGGGTTTGAACATGTGGTCCGATTATGATCGACTCTACCACAGCGAGTGCATTTCCTTAGTCGTATGGTGGACTCGTGTCTGGATCGATGACGTCGTGTGGGTGGTCTACCTGGAGGACGACGTACACTCGGTGGCAGAATAGAAGTACTTGAGATTTCGTTCGGGACAATCCAGTCCACTTCATGCGTAAGAGGATAGATTGCTTCGCTGTAGGCATCCCTCTAGTAATTCGATGTGTAATACGGTGCGCATAAATCGTACAATGACTTACCTCGCAAGCAGGCAGTTAACTTGCATGAATGCATGGCATGCGATTAAGCTGAAACTCACGACAAGTGCACGTGTTATCGGAGAAGTCCATGATGTCCATGTCATTGGATAGTCCAACTTGTGTTAAGTTCTTTCTTGAGCTCGAAGCCTTGCACCTGCTTCGAACATTGTCCTAACTCGCTTTTCATCCTCGATGATAACACGACACTACATGCGGTTGTATTGGTTCGACGTTCATAGAACCACTTCTGCATAGTTTGCCGAATGTGTTCGACCAGCCATGTGATCGGCAATGAACGTGCATGTCTCAACATTGAGTTCAAAGATTTTGCGTTGTTGTTTGTCAATATGTTGTAACGTTGCCCAAAGAATAGTGCTCGTGATCAAAATGAAAAACCAGCTCGCTCCAAATACCCATACGCTCGTTCACTTACCCTACGGATCTGTCCCATAAGTCTTTCAAACTCTTCGACCCGAGAAGCTCTTGCAGCTCGTTTGAATAGAAATATTGCACTTGGCGTTGTTGTACTGCTGGATTAAGTTCTTCTCCAAATGTCAAATACAGTTCCCATGCTGAGACATAGGAAATACATGAGCAATGGCATTAGAAATACTATTTTTCCTATCGAAAACAAAATCCAATTCAGCCGAGTCTCCTATAAGCTCTTTCAAGTTTGACATAAACCACATCCACAATCTATTTGTTTCGGCATCGACGATCCCCCATGCTAGGGGATAAATCTGTTTGTTGGCATCTTGGCCGGTTGCCAGCAGAAGTGTACCCTTGTATGGACCTTTCAAGTGACTATCGTCAACATAAATAACGGGCCTCAAGTAGTGTATGGAACCACGAATGCTTGCACCGAAAGCCAGGAAGAAGTAATGAGACATGTTACGGGAATCAACTTCAATGTGGGTTACTGTCCCCGAGTTACTCTCTCCTAGGACATGACAGTATGACGATAGTTTTTGAAAACTATCCCTCGGTGTACCGTGTAGCATATGTAAAGCAGCCACCTTACCCCTATGTGCTTTTTGGTAACTTATTTTCACACCATGTGCGTTACGACGAAAATCTACGAAACATGTGTGAACATTGTTGAATTTACGGATCATGAATATTGCAGACTGCTTCACACTCGAAGCCCGTAATATTCACTTGCAATTATCGGCTGCATATACCACAGTTAACATTTTGAGGCTTGACCTGCTGACCTTAAAAAGGAACTTGTCTTGCAAAGCAAGCACACGAATTTTGGAGTATAGCTCTTTCTTACTGAATAATATCTGCCGTTCAACAAGATCGGATGTACTTACACTTGTAATCCATTGGTATGTATCCAAACTCTAGGAATGTGATGACATTCTCTCGTCAACGTCGGCAATATTAGCACCATTTGTACCATGTAACGGCTCGTCCAACATCTCATCTAATGGTGCAGCCCCAACGTATTCAATTGGACTATCCGTTACATTATTGTTTGGGGCTCTAGGCTCATGATGGACGTCATCGTTAGCATGGGAAAATCCGCTGCTTCGAACGATGGGTCATGCAAATTTGTATCCCTCCCCATGTCAACACTCGGCAAATCAGTTTCCAAAATAGTAGTGCAGAGGGCAGTTTCCGTATGAACAGATTTGTATCAAATTAGGTCTTCATCTTCACGTATTTTGGCCGGTGGTAAATTGAAGTTCGGTGCTCTGAACTTTAATTCAATTTTTGTACGTGGATTAATAACACCAAGTTTGTCATTTAACAATAACAGAAGACCGGCTACGGTAATATTTCTCTGCACTAAAATGGAAGTGGTTTTGTCCCCTGTCCACTTCCATTCGTCATCCACGTGAATGAACTTTCCTTCATATGACACGATGAATATGAAATGATTGTCCATACCTGAAATATTGGGATTAGAACGATAAGAATATAGATTCAATGGATGTGTCAATATGTATTAGCATGGAAGTGACACTTTCCAATATTTAAACTGATGCAAAAACATAAGGTGAAATGAAGGGCTTCAACAGTTTTCAACTGTCAATTTCGACAGTTAAAATGTCTAACCCAACAGTTATTAAATGTTGGGTTCGACAGTTCAACTGTTGACAAGCTTCGGACATGTTTGGTACCTTGTTGAAAACATTAATGGTTATAATGAATTCTCAACTACAACAGCTATATCATCACAGCATCTGTCTAGAAATAAATGACTGAATGCTTCATTAAGAACATCATGATTAATAAGAATTTTTAAACCATTCTTCACTTCCATATCATGTTGTTTTTAGCATTTAAAAAAGACAAAGCTATTCAATAAAAATATAAAAATTCGTAAAAACTAACCTCTTAAAATGGCTGATGAATCCAATACTTGTGTCTTCTTGATCAATAAATGAAGAAGAAGGATGAAGTGAGAGTTTGTTGGAGAAGAGATTTGGTTGATGTTAAAATGAGATTTTCTACTTCTTTTATCTTTTCTTGTTTTCTTGTAAATTCGTATTTATACATACAATATACATATATCCAAAGATTGTAATATATAAATTTAAATATCCATGATTATAATACCTAAATTTAACTAATCAAATCATAGCATTAATTGAATTGGAAAGGTAGCATTAAATGCTCCTAAAAAGGGGAATGAAGGGTAAGTTGGACATTTCTAATTGAAAAAGTAACATTTTTGATAAAATTTGGTGCCCATGCAAATTTTTTGTGCATTTTCAAAATAAGTGACATTTTTGATGATTCTCCTTTAAATATTATAATAAAAAATGTTGATGACTAAAAATGACACGACAAATTTAAACCAACTTAATAGAAATTTAGTGAAGTGATTGCAGGAATTTTGAAAAATTAAATGATAATTTCATTGATTGAAGTTTTGAATGTCTTCGAGAGAATGGTCTTGTGGAGGACCATTCGACCCTATTTATAGGTTTGAAGATCATGCCACTTGTCTGCTTAATGTCTTTTCAACTACAGTTGACATAAAATTGTGTGACACATCAAGAACTCTGATTTTTGATTGGTTTGTTGAGGTCGATCGTGCAAATCATTATGATGCTTTTGTCACAGCTATGGCCTCAAGTAATGATAATTTATAATTGGGTAATCATTGTTTGCTTGTAACTGGTTGAAAATGAGGTACTGATGTCATGGTTACCATGTGTTATGTAGAGAGTGATCGATAATGGGGGTGGGTAGTGTGATAGGCATGTAGAATCATGTTGTCTTTATAAACTACGATGACATTTGTCTATGATCTCATCACCTATGAGTTCGATCTCGGGGCTAGTAAACTATTTATTTAATGACATGGGAGGTCGGATTCTAACCAAAAAAAAATAAAAATAAAAATAAAAATAA